TAGGAAAGATGTTGACAAACTGGAGAGAGTCCAGAGGAGAGCAACAAAAATGACAAACGGTTTAGAAAACCTGACCTATGAGGAATAATTTTAAAAACTGGGCATCTGTACCTTGAGAAAAGAAGACTCCGGGGGGGGGGGAACTAATAACAGTATTCAAATATATTAAGGGTTGCTTTAAAGAGGACAGTGATCAATTGTTCTCCATGTCCATGGTAGGTACAAGAAGAAGCAATGGGCTTAATCTGCAGCAAGGAAGATTTAGGTTAGACATTAGAAAAAACTTTCTAACTACAAGGGTAGTTAAGCTCTGGAATAAGTTTCCAAGGTAGGTTGTGGAATCACTGCCACTGGATGTTGTTAAGAACAGGTTCGACAAACACCTTTCAGGGATGATCTCAGTTCACTGGGTCCTGCCACAGAGCAGGGGGCTGGACCTGATGACTTCTTGAGATCCCAGCCCTACATTTCTACCCTTCTATGGTTCTACTTATAGAATCCCTTGAGCTTTCAGAAGTTCCCTTTGTCTGTTTAGCTCAGTGTTTCCCAAAGTGAGGTGTGCAAAGGAATAGCCAGGAGAAGTGGGGAAACAGACAAACCGCTCACTTGCTCTTGAGTCTCAGCTTTCATTTAAAAAAAGAGTAAGGCCAGGCATACACTAAAGAGCTAAGTGGACCCAGCTATGTTGCTCGGGTGTGTGAAAAAGCCATATAGTTAGTAGTGACATAGTTAACCCAACCTAACCCCCGATGTACCTAAGAGAGGGGAAAGAAAGTGAGGTGACCAAGGAAGAACTGGCAGAAGGCAGTGACAGAGAAGGTTGAATGTGCTGGTGTCACCTGGGAAGACATACCACAACTAGCAAGTAATCGTCATTAGTGGAGGAACTAGACTGCCCAATAGTACAGCAGGAACTAAGGTCTAAGTTCTGAAATGGGCTTAAAATGGGGCATACATTCTTTTTCTTTACAGGCAGGTGACCCTTCAATGCAAAATTTTTATGCCCGTTGTCAGTACTGTGTGAAACTGGGTTCTAGATAAAATTTGTCCCTGCTTTTTGCCAGGTATCTTTTAAGAGAAACAGTATGAACCTTTCCAAAAATAGGAGAATCTTGAGTGGATTTTGTACAATAGGTAGTTTTTAAAAGAAATATATAGGTTTTAAGAGACTTTTTGCAACTGTTTTTAAAAAAATGAAAGTTTATCTGTCAGCAGAGGGTGACATAAAATCTTCTCATTCAGAGAAATTCAAAATGGATGCCATCTCCCATCATTCTCTAGGTCTGGAGACTGAGGCCACACATCAAACTGCTACAGTTCACAATGCTAAGAGGGGTAGTGTGGTGAAGAAGGGAAGGCTGAGCAGTAGTCTGGTGTGTTGTAGGGGATACGTTGGTAAAAAGGGGTGCTGGAAGGCTAGCATTCCCCAGCAGAGTTAAGTTTATGATCTGTGAGGTATGGTAGCTGTGGTAGTGGCAGGGTGAAGCGGCGGATGGGTGTGCCTGTGGTTTGTACTGTTAGTTGGCTTACTTACTTCCTTGCTTTTGTGTCAGGTACCGTAAATGTTTCATGACTAAGTTCTTGTGTATTAACGTTACTACTCTTTTAACATGTATTGGCCAAAGCCTGCAATTGCTGAAGGCCTTGATTCTAAAAGTCCTCGTGTGGTCTGCAGGATTGTACTTGGGCAGTTAGCCTGAGTCGCTGTCTGCACCACTGCGGCCACACTGCTACTTTTAGGCATTAGCTAGAGCAGAGTGAGCGTGTGTATGTCTACTTGTGCTGCGAATTACACCAGCTGTTGAGTAGACATACCCTTAAAATGTGTTAGCTGGCATGTGGTACCCAACACCTTTTCAAGCTTAAATATCGGTCTAGACAAAGCCATGTAGGCAGGCAGCAGGGACTAGGGTGATATAATGTTGATATAAGCATGACATAACTGTGAATGTGGTCAGCAGGGAATTCTGGGACTGTGGGTGTGGCATGTGAGGCCTGAATCTGAAGTATTACCATTTGTCTTCCCATTTGTTGGTAAGCAATAGGCATTCATTAAAATGTGCTTGTATATTTCTAGCAAAGGTGATAATCAGTTCTCTGCCACTGTACTGAGAAACAATTATTTTTCTCTTCAAGGCCTTGTAATGCTTTGATTCTAAATAAAGTAATTTCTCCCTCATGCAGGAGGGTGCCTGAAGTTTTTTCGTGCTCCCAGGAATGTAATTTTTCTTCTCAAAAGCCTGGTTCTACTCTGCAAAATGACTCTGTAAAAATGGATCAAATGGATGAGGATCCAGTTTTCTCAGTTTACAAGTGATACGGTGGTTGTTGTAACTGCCAGCCCAGCAGACTCGAGCTAGGTTCTTTCCTTCTGATATCCCTTCGCCAGTAATGAAGTGCCGCCCAGTTTTTGCGCTCAGTTACACCTGTGCATTCCCACTGCATTCAGTGGTGTTGCATAAGTGTTTCTGGCTATCTGTATTTGTGCTGAGGGACAAACCATTATATCTGAGCACCGTGCAATCATTAGGGATTTTACACCCCGTCTCCTAGGGACGCGTTAGCCCCATTTTACAGATGGCAAAATGAGGCACAGAATAGATTAACTGACCTGCCCAAGGTAATACAGGGAATTTGTGGCTGGGGCAGGAATTGAGGCCAATTCTCTTGAATCCCAGTACAGTACTCTATCCACAAAACCATCCTTTCTTATCTCACCCTTCTGTGTGGTTGGACAAGTATGACTGAGGCCCCAAGGTTGGGACTTAGTTAACAATGGGGTTGACAATGTGTGAGAAGGACTGGAATCAAACTCCCCTCCCAGAGCTATGTTGGTTCCGCTGGGCTAAGAGGAGTAAAAAACAGTACAACTTATTTTGTTCGCAAAAGCCAGCAAATAGGAGCTGGAATACACCCAAGGAAATCACATCTCTTGGGTCAGAAGGTGGCAATTTTTGCAGTCACAAAACCGCACTTTAACATTCCACTCCACACATTATAAACAATACGGGCCAGATCCAGCCCTCGCTCGTTTGCCACAGTGCAGTGGAATTCGCTGCGTTGTAGGGGCATGCAAGCAGGGTGCCAGTTTTCAAATGGTGCTACAATATGTCTCCTTGCTGTTTGAGAGTCAAACCTAGTCCTCAGCCTAAGAAAGCCACTGGCAGTCATTCTAAATGGTAGTGAGTTAACACGCAGTATTGTGGACAGTCTCAGATATTCGTGGCAGATCAAACTGCTCTTTGGTAGATTCAGAAGTAAGTGATAAAGCCAGCTTCCTATGTTTGGAAAAGACAAAAACAGAGAGAGAGGTTGTTCACCAAAAGGTGAAGGACAGGAGAAGTGGGGATAGCTTGCTGTGGAATAAAATAGAAAAGTACCGCATATGGCCCTATGATGTACATAGTTAGGTCTTTTAGCCATTATGCATGCGCCCCACATGCTAGGCACTCACGTTTGAATACACACTAACAAGCAAGGGCTTCAGGGCAAGTAACTTATACAGATGCGGCAGTCCCAGTCTGGGCCTTTCCCTGCAGGTATTGCTGGGGGCAAAATTGCAAAAATAACTGCTTTGACCACACAGGGCTGTGCAGACCATTAGGAGACTCAAACTAAAGAAAAATCAATCTAAAGCCAAACACATCATTTCCTCAAAATAAAGTTAATTTTGTTTTTAAACCAAATGAGCATCACAAGGAAAGGCCAGAAGGGCCTGTCGGGCTTTGCCAGAACTGTTGACCCATATGGAAATGCTGCATTCTCTGAAAACCCAGAGAGCACTAGGGCCAGAGAGATCTTTGCTGCTATTTGTTTGAGAAACAAAGCTTCCCCCCTCCAGGATGAAAGAAACGAAGGAGTCTAAACTAATCAAATCCTACATGCCTGTTGGCTGACGTTCAGTTTGTCCGTGATGCAGCTCAGTGAAGTGAATAGCGTTTACCGTGCTCTGAGCTTTGGAGAAGGGAGAAAACAAGACAGAAAGAAATTCACCTGGCTGCAAGTCAAACAGGTGTATGGGGCTAGAATCTGAGACTGTAACAGTGTCTTACAAACATGGAAATAAAGAATAAGACCAATTCTTCATGCTTTACTAATGAATTGTAAAGGTTTTCTTTATATTACACATGCTTTGGGCAGATACCTCACCAATATTTCCACACCTGTCTGTTTAGAATTTTAATGCTCCAGCTAAGACACCTTCCCGTACGGTTCCCCAGACTAACAAAATACACAAGGCAATTTTCTGCCGTTCCATGTTGTATGTTATAGTGGGGCAACTGGCTTACTTTACACAGCTGAATTTACCTTTGTGACCACTTGAACTACATGGCTGCATGCGTATTTGTTTGATAATAAGTGTCAGTGCTGTCTAGTGTGTGTGCCTAAAAAGATTTCCTCTCTCCTTCATCATTCCACGGCACAATTTGTCCAGTCTTCCCAGGACTGCTCTGTACCCTGAAGTGACTCAACCAGTTTCTGATAGAGATCTCAATCACACATTAAATAAGGGAATTGGCTATCTTGAGCTACTGCATTGAAATAAGCAAGAGTGAGCCTTAAACCTAAATATTAAAGAAACAGAGGCCCTTGCCAGTAAGTCAAATCTAATTTAGGAGACAGAAGTAAACAAAATTAAAATATCAAAAATATGGAGAAATTATCATAGTTGCTTCACAACAGATAGACAAATGGCCCCCTGTTGAAAACAGTGTGATTCAGTAGTTGAATCAGACAGTTAAAGATAACCTGACCTAAAATGGACTTTCAGACACTCAAACTACATGCTCAGAATAACACGGTAGCACTTTAATTTGTGAATCAAAACCTTAAAAAGAAAGAAATTTTGACCCCTTCACAGTTCAGAAACTCTGGTACCACAGACAGATCTTCACTTTTGCTGCTAAGCTGCAGTTGAGGGCAGATAGCTTCTGCATAAGCAGCCTCAACCTTTCCTGTTCCTGTCTGCATAAGTATTTTAGCAGAAGCATGGTCTTTACCTGAGAGGCGTCTGGGCACATCGGTGATGGCAGGAAGGCCTGTGCCTCGTGAAGAGGACAGGGGAGTTGTGGAATGAATGGATGGTGAAGTCATCTGGCTCAAGTAGGATGGGTAAGACTGGTCATATGACCATGGAGGGGATGATTGTGCCTGTCTGGGGTCTAAAAAACAAAACAAAAAGAGAAAATTAAAAAAGAAATGAAAAGATTTAGGGACACCAGCAGCTTAATCAATGAGAATGGCATTACAGAATCTAAGCACATGGATGTCATGAAGAATGAGAGTGCCTGACAAACAAGAACTCCCAGCACCCTTCCCTTCTCCCTGGCTCTGAGTTTTTCACCTTGGAAAATAATATGGCGGGAAATGCATAGTGCAGAACAAAGCATTTCCTCTGAATTTCTAAAGCAGTAGCAAGCAGAATTTAAAATGATGTGGCCAAGTGTTCCATAAATTCCCATACTCTCTTGTCCAGTCCTAAGAAAGCATTCCACCAGCAGCTCAGAGCTGTGTTCACATCCTCAGTGTGTGTGGCTTTTTGTTTTGGGGTTGCTTTTCTTTTTCTTTTCTTTTTTTTAATGCTGCATCTGAACTTAAAACTGGCTTTTTGGGGAGGGAAGGAGAACTAAAAGTTGATGGCCACATCTGTCAAGTTGTTATCCAGTTTCAACATTAAACAGAAGCGTTTTCAGCACTGAGAAAGTGATCCAAGAAGGAAAACATCAATAATCCTATTAGCATCTGTCCAAAAAAAATCACGTTTGGATTCTAGCCCGATTACCTATAATCACCATCAATATAATCTGAAACTGAATGGTTTGGGGTAACCACTGAAAGTTAATTATGACTTTTCTAATTTTTACAGCTTGCCTTGGAGGGAATGATTCAAGGGCATGCAGATTCTCTTTTCCACTGACGTTCTGGTGGGCTGCATTGGGTGAGAGAAGAGGGTGGGCAGTTTTATTTTCCTACTACTAGGTTTTGTAAACAATTTTGCTTTTAGTCAATAACCAGTGATTCACTGCTGACAGGAGGAATTACTCATCAACATTTATTTTTTTCTTTTACATTGGTGAAAACCCTACAGCATTTCCTAGCTAAGAGAGTTTGTTTAGTAAGCTAGGTGGTACACAAGAGAACTGTATGCACTGCTGCCTCAGATTGCTTTATACCTACTGCAACGCATCCAAATTCTCTCTACTATTTCCAAAGTAGCAAATCAATCCCAGGTTACCTCAAGAAGTTGCTACATTTGAGCAGTGTCTCAGGCTCCACTTTGTTGACAGAAACACGAAATCTGAATGGCATAAGCAATCCCCTCCCCATTTTTTTTTTCTTCAGGAAATTCATCTTTAAAAAAACAAAACAAAACCCTCTTTCTGCTCTTCCACATGGCAAAACCTTGTCGTGTCAGCTATTTCTTGTTTATTTTTTCTGTTCAGACATGATTTGTTTGAAGAGATGTCTGGAAAGCAGATACTTCCTTAAAGCAAAATAACTATACAGATACAACCAAAAAAACCCTTTCCAATTTAATTTTAAAAGGATTTTCCTTTGGTTTGCAGTTTATATTAGAGTTGAATAATATAAATGGTTAACATAAATGTTCCTCAGAAATCTGAAGGACACTTGATTGTTAAATGTAATGAACTTCTTTGTTTTAACAATTTCAAGGCTAGGGCCCTATAGCTTGGCACAACTTCAAATATGACTGGCTGTTGTTATAGCTGATATTGACACTTCTCCCTGCCTCATACCAATACTGTAATCTACTATTCAATTCATAGTAAGCAATCTTAAACTGCAGTGGGGGGGAAGCTTATGCACCGTGGCAAAACAATATTAAAATTAATGATGGGTCAGGACCAGAACCTCAAATCCAAACTCCTTCAAATTCTAGGAGGTTTTCAATCCCAGTCTTTGGATCCAAACGACCGTCCCTTATGGTTTTGATTCTAAGTCATATCTCATACTGGAAAGGGCTTAATTTCCATTTCGAATGTGGAAGAAATATCCTAAGGCTTGGTCCACACTGGGGCGGGGGATCGATCTAGGAAACGCAACTTCAGCTACGAGAATAGCGTAGCTGAAGTCGACGTTTCCTAGCTCGAACTAAGTTTACTTACTACGGGTCCACGCGGCACAGGCAAGCTCCCCCGTCGACAGCGCTTCCTCCTCTCGGCGAGCAGGAGTTCCGCAGTCGACGGGGGAGCGCTTCTGGGATCGATTTATCACGTCCAGATGAGACGCGATAAATCGATCCCAGAAGATCGATCTCTACCCGCCGAATCAGGGGGGTAGTGTGGACCTAGCCTAAGAATGGATGTTCTCACAGAATTTGGGCCAAGACAATGAGACTCTCATGCATACAGTTGCTCTCATGGGATTTCTGCCACACAGAATGGTAGAAGTCTCATGGGAGCAGAAGTCTTTGTCACGTTTGTGCACCATCATACCTTGAACTCATATCCTAGTCCTCATTTGGCCTGGGACCCTGAAATCTAGCCTAACCCTAGATCTAAATACAGCCTCTTTGGCCCATCCCATCTTAAAATAAGAATAAAGGCTTTAGGGTCATGTAAACAAATTCTTATTTTTCATCCTTGATTTCAGCAATTCACCACTGTAACAGTATGAGTTTTAAAAGCAAACATTATTTTAGAATAAGAGAGGAGGGACTCTCTTTTGATTAAAGCACTGGACTGGGACTCAGGAGATCTCGGTTCAATCCTGGCTTTGCTACAGACATAGGTGCTGGAATTAGGGGTGCTGCCGCACCTCCTGGCTTGAAGTGGTTTCCATCATATACAAGGTTTACAGTTTGGTTCAATGGCTCTCAGCACCTCCACTATACAAATTTTTTCAGCGCCCCTGGCCACAAACTCCCATTGTGACCTTGGGCGCAAGTCACTTAATCTTTCTCTGCCTGAGTTCCCCAGGATAGTCTCTTTCTCCTACTCTTTATCTTGTCTGCTTAGTTAGTAAGCTCTTTGGAGCACAGACTGTTTCTTACTATGGAGCTAGCACAATGGGGCCCTGATCTTGGTTGGGGCCTCTTGGTCCAGATAGCTCAGTGCAGAGACGACCCGTGCCTGCTGATCATGAGGGGGATACAGTGAGGGGAGCAGCTTCAGCAGAGCATGTGAGCATGCTCAGTACAAGCCAAGCAGCAAATTGGGGGGGTACATAACCCCGTGTGTTGCCCCCCCCCCCATGTCACCTCTGACTCAGTGGACACACATTCCAACGTGACCACTTCTCAAACGAGAGTGAAAGTAAGTTCAGTTTGAGCTCTGCAGAGAAATGAGGGCCCAGTTCATCACTGATTAGAAAAGGAAGCAATTGAAAAGAAAAAACTGAAACCAAACCAAACCCAGGCAACTGTTGATAGAAAAGTTACTACTGCAGCTGACAGTCACTGCTTGGGAGGAAATCAGGGCTGCACCAGAATGGATAGTCATGAGACTTCCTCGCCGTAAGTCAGGGTTGAGGTCACCATTGGGGCAGGGTGGAGAATCTTGCCCTGTGGCTGGCTGGCTTTGTTCACTGGGCTCGGCCTGTTAACAAACAGGAAACTGAAGTTTCTAACTTCTGTGAGCAGAAGCGTTCAAAGCAATGCCACCTCATTAAGAACAGCAGGTGTTTGTGTGTGCATGTGCGGAGGGCTGGGTGGGGGGAGCTGCACTCTTGCTGCCTGTCAAAGATTACTTGCAAAGCCGAATGGTAAATTGCACGCATCTCCCCAAGCTGGGCTGAACGCGCTCATTACCCAGGCTAAATGGGAAATTCAGTGTACAAATTTCAAAAACAGCTGTTAGTCCTGCAGACCGCCGGCCAGCTGGGGACCCACAATGCAATGTTCTGTGGCACTAGGGGCTAATCTACCCTAGAAGCGCTACAGCTGCGCCAATGCAGCACGTCGGGTGAAGACTCTATGCCGACGGGAGAGAGCTCTTCCGTTGCCCTAATGAAACCACCTCTGTGAAATGAGAGGAAGACGCTCTCCTGCTGACATGGTGCTTTCCAAACCGGCGCTTAGGTTGGTGTAACTTACGTCGTTTCTGAGGGTGGCTTATTCACACCCCAAGCAACATAAGTTATACCGACGTAACCTGTAGTGTAGACTAACACAGCTACCCCCAAATGCCACTGGAGCAGGAACTTAGGCCACAAGAGATCAAGCAATCCTGTTTGTTTGGGTTTTTTCCCACATACGCCACAGTCTGTACTGAAAACAGCGCCATATATGGAGGGGAAACCCTGCCCCTCCAAGCCTCACGGAGCGTATTCATACCCCAGAGTTTGCTCCCAGATCGATGTTTTCTGGGACATGTGGCAAAGCTGGGCATGAGGACTTAAGAGGGAATCGCAAGGAAGTTTTTGAGAGTTCCTTTTTTGTTGCTTGTGTGCTGAGTGATCACTTAGACTGGATACACGGGGTATTTAGTATGCAGTGGTGAAATATATACAATGGCCTGTGAGCATCTTAGTGGGAAACTTTTTCTGCCTTCTGTACAAGAAGCAAATTCTCTTGTTAGCTCTCACCAGGGGGCTTGTGAGATTTGCCAGGTGATCAGGCAGCTTCTGGGTGTCTGGGGGCCAGAAGCTTTGCATTGTCCCATGAAAGATCATGGGTGCTTACAACTGCAGCATCTTTCCAATTGTTAAAAGCCCAGAACATATGAGAAGTCCCAGAGCTGTTAACCAGAGGGAGTATGACTCTGCCTAGAGGAATCCCCAGAATACAAGAAAATAAAAAAAGCATACTGAACAGGTGGGTGGGGGGGGAGAAATAACCCACCCACCTGTCTTGATGGCAATATGCAAACACTGAAGAAAGGCAGAGCACAGTGAGGTGACCAAAGCCAGGCGTTCAGGGCTATCATATTTCTGCACTTCAAAATTTGGAGTGATTACTAATAGCAATCCTCCTTTTGTAAACATTTTTGTTATGCCTGTGTGGGTGTGAAGAAAAGTGCTGTTTTCGTAAGTCATTCACAGCAGGGCATAGCATGCAAATACTCCTAAACTTCATGCACAGATCGGCTGAAACAAGTCAGCCGGGGTGAGGTCTAAACTAATACGCACACAGCTACTTCCTGTTTGCACTGCCAGGTAAGTTTCTGTGAAGCAGGAAATATCAAATATTGCATATTATTTT